GGATCCCTGCTGCTCCTCCCTGCCACGGAAGATATTAAAAATCTAACAAATGCACTAAATTAAACAGTGCTTTTGCACATATTAAATGAACTTCCCCGCAGCGGGCCGGGAGGTTGGGGAAGCCCTGTGATGAATGGGCTGCAGCGAAGGAGCCCTTCGGGGAGGATGCGTGTCCCTGCCCAGCGGCCGTTTTGGGGCTGAGCATCCCCTCTCACCCAGCCCCCGTCTCAACTTGGGGCACCCCAGAGCATCACCCGAGGGCTGCGCCGGGGCGGGCAGGCTGGGGGTTTCCCCCATGTGCCTCTGCTCCCCGGTGCATGGGGGTGGGGGGGTTGTGACAGCCCGGGGAGCAGAGGGCTTTGCTGCAGGTTTTGGGGTGCCGGGGCATTCACCCCCTCAAGGAGCCGTTCCCACCTGACCCCCAGTGGGATGGTGGCTCTGTCTGTCCCCGGAGGCGCCACAGCCCATGGGGTTCCCAGCAGAGCCGCAAGCGCTCCCCGTTAATAATTTACAGCTCCTAATGAGTTGTCAGGCAGTCGGTGGGTTGCAATTATCATCGAGCCCTCGGGTGGGAGGCATCGCCTCGCTCGGCTGGGCCGGCGGAGCCCCCGAGCCCAGGCTGCGCGCCGGCGTCACCCCGGTTCACCGAGCGGGGCCGGGAGCACGTGTGCCCGTCCTCTGCTGGGACCTGGGCTTAATTAATCTTCTGTCGAGCAGGGAAGTGGTAATGGTCCCGGAGGAAGGCGGCGAGATGATTGTGCTGGAGTGAGACAAAAGAGAACAGTTAGACTGTGACAGCTGATATTAAAATGACTACAACTCACTCCATCCCCCCAGTCAATGCATTATATTCCTTATAAATAATGGGTTACTCCAGGTTAACTGGCTGTTGCTGCATTCCGATTGTTGATATTTAATTAGCTCTAAAATTAAAGTGTTCTTTTATTGCCCTGCCATTAGAACTGCTTTCTTTCTAATTGATTGAGATTAAAGTGTCTCTTTGCTGTCCCAGCTCCCCGGTGCCGGAGGAGGAGGAGGAGGCCGTGGGGCTGGGGGTAGGTTTGGTGGCAGCGTGTGACACCGGGAGGGGTGACGGAGGAGCAGAGCCCCGGCCATGGCGAGGGGCTGTGTCCCCAGGGTGCCAGGGTCTGCACCAGGTCTTGGTCCCCAGGGAGGGTTGGGGGATGCTGGTTCCCCTTCCCCATCACCTCCACGGAGACCTGGAGAGGTTCCTGGTGCCAGATCCTGCCTCTGCGCCGGCTGCAGAGCCCAGCTCTCGCTGCAATCAGCAGCAAAGCAGCAAAGCTGCTGAGCATCCCTTTTCCCCAGCTGTCGGTGAAAACACAGACCGGCAGGGCTCAGGGTCCCACCGTCTCCGCAATACCTCACCCCCAATGCCTTCATTAGTAGTCATCCCCAAAAGTTAATCCTGGAGCTAATCCTGTGTGCGGCACGGAGCCGGAAGAGCCGGTGCTGATGGGCACCGTGGTGCGACAGGAGCCGCTTCCCACCTCT